TCTTAAATATAAAGGTAGCTGTAAAACCAGGCCTGATGGCACACACCTATAGCCTAAGCTGAGACATAAGCCAGAGGATCAGTTGGGCTCACAAACTCAAGACCCCCATGAGCAGCATGGTGAGATCCTATTTCAACTGCATGGATAGAGATGTAGCTCAGTGGTAAAGTATTTGCCTCACATGCCTAAGGTCCTAGGTTCAATGCCCAGCACAAAACAAAATAACAAAAGCTAAAATACAATGTATAAAATACAACCTTTTGTTTACTTATTTGGTTTTTTTCAAGACAGGGTTTTTCTGTGTAGCTTTGGAGCCTGTCCTGGGGCTCTCTCTGTAGACCAGGCTGGCCTCGAATTCACAGAGATCTGCCTGCCTTTGCCTCCCAAATGCTGGGATTAAAATTGTGCACTATCACTCTCTGCACAATGTTTTATTAATCATGCAATTTTAAAGATTTTTTTCTTCAGAAAGTGAGTAAAGACATAATAAGTGCTTCAAAATCCTATACTCTGTTTTTAAATAAGCCAATTATTGTTTGCTTCCCTTCAATATTTTGTATATATTGTGTATGTGCACATGTGAGTGTGGGAACGTGTGAGTGCATGTGTAGTACGTGTGAGTGCCGGTGCACATGAGTACAGGTGCACATGAATGCAGGTGCACATGTGAGTGCAGATACATATGTGAATGCATGTACATGTGAGTGCACGTGTATGTGCAAGTGCACACGAGTGCAGGTACACGTAAATGCGTGTGCACGTGAATGTGTGTGCACGTGAGTGTGGGTACAGGTGAATGCAGGTGCACATATGAGTGCAGATACATATGTGAGTGCGTGTGTGTACATGAGTGCACGTGCCTGTGTGAGTGCGGGTGCATGTGTGAGTGTGGCATGCGTGTGAGCACATGTGGAGGCCAGCAGACAACCTTAAGCCTAAGCCATTAGCTGCCCTGTGTTTTTGAGACAGGGTCTCTCACAGACTATACTACTAGATGAGCTGACCAGAGCCCCAGCGACCCACCTTCTGTGACTCCACAGCTCTGGGTTTATGGACGTGTCCTGTCACATTCGGTTTTATGATGTGGGTTGTGAGGGTGAAACCCAGGTCCTCGTACTTGCACAGTGGGTACTTTACTGACTGAGTCCATCTCCCCAGGCCTCCAGATTAAATGTAGCTTTTTGATGTTTTAAAGATGTCACCATGTAAATAATATATAAGAAATCCCTATTAACTAGAATAATTTATTTGTCAAAATGACCCACTGGAATGAGGCAGGATGGCCCCAAGTTTGAGAACAACCTGGGCTATATAGTGAGTTAGAGGCCAGTTTGGAACACCCAGCAATATCCTGCTTTAAAAACAAAGCAAAAATAAAAAAAATAAAAAAAAAAAAACAATGACCACACAACAACAACAACAACAAATCCGAACCCAGCAGGTAACAGAATATTTGCTATAGTGCTTTCCATTACTCAAATTCCTTCCCTGGGGAAGCTTAAACAATGGCTGCCCCACTCCTAAGGTCCAGCACCAAAACCAGATACATTCTAAGTTTACTCTGGAGAGCCAGGGAGAGCCAGTGCGCATTGGGCTTTCTTACAGAGCTGTGGGTGAGGGCTTACAGCCAGGAGCATGCGTGGCTTAAAGCAGCCACACGGGGAGGTCTACACCCAGCATAAACGATGACCGCATAGATGCACAATATCCCTAATCCTTCCTAATTTATATACTTCTAACACCTCCCTGAAGCCACGAAGGAAGAAAGCAGCGCTTTGTCTGAGAGAATAATCCTGTCTGACACCTTCCCCCATCACCTTCAAGTTTCCCACATACATCTTCCATTTTCTTTCAGGAATACCAACTGTTTATAACTTCACAGCCATTTTCCATCATGCTGTAGATTTAAATTCTGAAGAGATGGGGTTTTATTTTCTCTACCTAGAAACATAAATAAAGACATGTGGAGTTTTGAACCTGAGAAAGGCCACACAAAGACCTCCAAACTGACTTTGAGTCAATGGTGCCCATAGTAACAGAGAGGGCACAGCACCAGACCAGGTATCCAGGATGCTGAGAGCGGGAGGTGATGCCGCTCCACCTGCCTCTGATCTTCCAGGTGGTCCTGGGGCAGCTTACTGAAGGAAACACACACCTGGACCCACGAGCCCCTGGAGGTGTAAGGTGACACACAGGTGTAGGTATAGGGTTTTGGTCAGGTGGCACCCAAGGCAACTCAGGCTGCAGATGTCTTTGTCCCATGTGCCCCGATAATCACTCCTTTTCCCTCCTCAAAGGATTCTAGGCTGTTCCAGGGGGGGAGGAACTTCTGTGGCTACGGAGCCAGCTGCCTCCCGCCTTCCTTCCTAAAAAGCCAAGAGACGTCGTAAGTAAACACAGTAAATCTTCTGGCGGAAGAACAGAGACACCATCAATTTGGTGTCCTATTATTCACGCTATAGGATATGCGTGCCAAGGGTGTGGTAGTAAAGAACACTGCACACAGAAACCTCAACTCTATCAAAACCTTTAGCCAGTAGCAAACTGTCTGGGGTTTCAAGCTCTCCCTCTCTGAATTCCTAATTCTGCAATTAGGAATAAAGACCAGAAAAGAAAAACACGGATAAGAGATCATCCACACTGGATACACTGCTTCTGAGAGGACCATGCACTCGTGCAGTCACACTTGAGGAAGCAGGATGCTATTTTTGTCATAAATGCACAGAAAGATGGTCCATCAGTGACACGCTACTCCAAGGTGCTGATTAGCTCGGAGACCCCCTTAGGGACAGAGTTTAAAGGACTGTTATGTGAATAGGTGGCCCCAGGAGAAGGCAGCCAGTCTCTGGGTTACCACACATTTGTGGTAACATTAGTAATATTGCGCATTTTAGACCTGCCCATCCTGACCTCTCTCTCTTACATTTTTTTTTAAATTGTGTCTGGAGGCAGTGGGGTAGGGAGGCACATCTGCCTCGGTGTGTGCGTGGAAGTGAGGGGAAGAGACCTGGATGTTGAACCAGGTCCTCGGGCTTGGTGGCTCATGCCTTACCCACTGAGCCATTTTCCTGGTCCACTTGTCGAGTTTTGATCCATACATCTGTCCACTGTTAGGGTGACTCCGCTCTCACGGCTCCCGTCTCCAGCCACCAAAGAGCCCTGAAAGCAGGAAGGCTGAAATGGTACCCCCGGGGCAAGCCAGGTGCTCAACAAATTCCCAGTACATGTGTCCAAACATGGTGGCATGGCCGTGGTTACACAAGAGACAGAGGCAAAAGGATTGCTTGAGCCCAGGAACTTGGGGCTAACCTGGACAACACAGCAAGACCTGTCCACCTCATCTTTTTCAATAGGGAAAAACAAAACAAAAGTTACAATAGTCAGCCTGGTATATTTAGATGAGTTCAAAGCATTTTCTAATCTTCAAAGCCTCAAGGTTCAAAACACTTTGCTTAAACACATGGGATGGTTGGTCTGGGCCATGGCACGTGCTTGTAATACCAGCACGTGAGAGGCTGAGGCAAGAGGATCAGGAGTTCAAGGCCGCCCTGAACATAAAACACTGTCTCTAAAAAACAGAAAACGAAATCAAACACTATGATAAGTCAGAAATTGTGAGGTCTGGGCACAGCATTCTGGGAACTCGAGTGAAGCAGCCATGCCTACAACTGGAGGTCTTCACCTTCAATCTTCTTTATAGGTTGTATTTGAGCTGATTTTGTTTTGTTTTAGGATTATGAGTAACCTTACCAAGAAGGTAGTAAGTATGGGTTTACCAAGCATCTAGGACGAAGACTGAGTGGGTAGGGCCCACAGGTGTGGTGCCACCTGGGTGCAGGGAGAAGCCAGCAAAAGACTGAAAGAGTATTCCTGCCCGAGCCCTCCCCACCTGGACTTTGCAACGTGAGCAAAAGGCTCTTTGACCCTGCCCTCCACCCTTTTCCTGCCCTGACTCGGCTTCCCCCTCCCCCCCCCCACTACTGTGACCCTGTAAGAGAGTTCACCAGGTCGTGTACAACAGACACATGAACAAAGGCCTGAGGGACATGAGCAAATCCTGATGAGAGCCTGGGACTGTGTTCTGACCACTGAGCAACAGCCAGCGCCAGGGCTGTGTGGAGCCACACACAAGTAGCCGACAAGAATGCGGAGGAACCAACAAAGCTGGTTTCTTGGGAAGGCCGGTATCACTCCTGGCGGGAACCAAGCCCTTCCTGTTTTCTCAGCCTAAGGGATTCTCTGTCTGTCTCTCTGCCTCTCTCTCTCTCTCTGTCTCTCTCTGTTTCTCTCTGTGTGTGTCTCTCTCTGTCTGTCTGTCTGTCTCTTTCTACTTCTGGTATTTGGAGTGTTGTATTACATTGGTTGTCCTCATTCCTGAGACGTAGGCCTTTCTCCGCTTGCCCATTATTACAAACTTCTCTCTGTTGTAACTCTGCCTTGAAAGACACCTTGGGAACAAGTGGAGGTAGAAAGCAGCCAGGAACAAACAGTTTAGATTTTTAGTTTCTGGCAGAGAGAGAGAGATCATGTCCTGTTCACTTTTATAAACCCCACAGCACCGTGTGGATAAGCTGATCCAGTTGTGACAACCTGGCAAACCCACTGGTTCCTAAAAGAAGCTGTTTACTAGATTATTTACATAGATATCTATTTTGTAAACTTAAAATTTCATTTTACCAGCCCCTGCTCCCTCTATCATGTTTTCTGATTTGATTTTCCAGGTTTGTCCTTTAGGTAAGGGATTAAAAGGCTATGTAATTGGGAAAACTCCTAGAACTGATTGTTCTGCCTTTCTGGTTTAAAAACTATAGGAGCTGGGGGAGGGGCACTTGACTAATACACATGAGGGCCAGGATTCTATCCCGAGAGAAACGGAGAGAGATGGAGAAAAAAAGAGAGACTGAATTCAGCAACACAAAGTTAAACTACAAAGAAGCAGAAAGACCTGGCGGTCGTCGAGCCCATTGTGTAAAAACAATAATAATCAGCCGGGTACAATATAACAAATTATAACGATCTGCTGATCTTTTAATGCAGGAAAATAACCAGAAGAAACACAAAAAATGTCTTTAAAAAAATACAGCATCATTGCCACTACACATGAAAATATTTCCATAAAAAAGTACTCTCTGATTGAACATTGAACTTTCCAACGGTCTCTGGGTTTCCGTTGGGTGATCTGTACATTCTCCTGGAATTTCCAGTGTTGTCAGTCTCCGGCTTCAGCCAGGGACCTGCACTGGTCAGTCTTCCTGAGACCGGGACACTTCCTGTTAGACACTCAGTGCTTCAAGGCTAATATTTAATCTTAATTGGCAAAAAGTTTAGTGCAAATAAAGTTATACTTAGCAGACTGACACAGTTCTGATGGTTTTAACCCTTACCGCTTCCCCAGAGCGACCCCAGTTCTCCTGAGTACCAGCTTTGACCTTGAAGCCTACGGGAAGCTGACAGGGATGATTCTGTTTGCTACACAGGGATTTTCCCTGCGGGATGAAGACTTTCAGTCATTACCCAAGTAAAAAAAAAAAAAAAAAAAAACCAAACTGCTTTTATACCTGGGAAGCTCACTTTGGGTTGATGCTAAACAACAGACGACCAATAACAAACAGAAATAAACAAACACAAACAGGGCCTGAATGGTGTCGTTTCTCTGGAGAATAGAGTCAAGGTCATACTTGATCTCTCCTGTCTGCTTCTCTGACCATTGGCTAAGATACCCAGAGTAGAAAGTCGTCTGTTTACACCATAGATGGCTGCTCACAGGAAGGCTTGAGCACAGGACTGAGGAAATCACGTCAATCAAATTCTACACTTCTCCAGTAACAATTTTATTTCACTGGTTGGAATGCCAAAAGGCGCGTAAAGAAAGTAAAGCTAGGCCATCTGACTCCAGACTTGCTGCTTTCCACTCTGCCAAGGCTTATTCTGGAGATGAACAGAAGCCAGGGAGCTTCCAGCCAGAGAAGACTGCGAGCTGCGTCAGTTCTGCGAACTGCCTCTCTTTGACGCATCTGTCCCCTTTCTAGTAAGGCCTGGCACTGCCTCAGAAAACACTGTGCCTTCCTGTGCCCAGACCTGGGGCAGATTCAGGAGAGAGGGACTCTTCCCAGGCTTGAGTGCCTGGTTCTGCTTTTGTAGACATTTCATAGCCCAGACACATGAGACTTTAAGAAGTCGAGATGGCCCTCAAGGACGCCATGTCACGGGTTCTTTCTTTCTACCAACCCCTAACGGTTTGTTTCCCCTGGGTTCTCTCACCTACTTAGTAGCTTGTGTGGGGGTGGGGGTGGGGGACTCTGCCTTCTGGAGAGATGAGCCCACCTCAGTCACTGTACTCTTCTCTCTCCTTTAGAGTGTGGAATTTTTCATATTGGTTGGCCAATTTCCATTTGTTGTGTTGAGTTTTGAGTCTAGCAGCCAAGGAACTCTTCCGGGTGACATTTCTAGATACGTCCCGGCTCTTGACCTTCCTGGCTGGGGAGGAGCTTTGCACTAAGGAATATACAGGGAAGATGGGTTTGCCCCGGGGTGCACCCAGGAGCTGCCATGTTTCCCCAGTGACATTACCCGTCAGATACTGCCATGGTTTCTTGCCACTGACGTCCCGGATGTCCACCCGAGAAGCCAACCTTTGCACTAGCAATTTGATGACTCCCTGGTGGCCGTGAATCGCTGCAAGGTGCAGCGGGGTATAGCCACAACTGGACCTCACGTTGACATCGAGCGCAATCCCTGCCTTCTGGGCTCCAGAAATCAAGCCCTGAAGGGCATTCAGGTCACCGTGCTTTGCTATCCAGTGCAAGGCTGTGAACCCCGTCAGGAAGTCTCTGTGCAAAGCCAACTGTGGGTCCTCCCAGAACAAAGCCTCCACACGAGGCCAGGAGCCACTGGCAAGCTTCACAATCCATTCATGTTCCCTGGCATCTAGGGGGACAAGTGGTGACCTGTGCTCAGGAGATCTGTGGGGTATCATGGCTGCAGATCCATCCCTGCCGGGGACCCACGAGGTGTGTGGCTGACCTGCCACAGCATTAGTGTCTGGCAATTTCTGTACCAAAACAATATCTACCCTTGGGCTGGGCAGGGCTCCTGCCCTGGAAGTTTTCCTGGACCGAGGTGGGCGCCGGCTTCTTTTCAACAAGTCCTCATCAAGATGCTCTTCATCAGAGGAGGAGGAGGATTTGGTTCTCCCACTTCGAGCGCTCCTCCTGAAAGACCTCCGGAACTTGGGGGCTGGCCAGGGCGAAACCTCCTGAGGATTGTCTCCGAGGTTTTTAGCCACTGTTGGGACCTTCTGAGAACTGGGTGCATTCCCTCCGTTCCTGAGGCTCCGTCGGATCCCACTGGTGCTGCCTTCATTTGAAGACACAGACGGGCCCTCAATAGGATCCCTGAGCTCTCCCCAAGAGGAAACTCTCAGGACGGGTTGCAGCCACTCTTCGGGGGTTCCAGGAGACTCTTTGGGTCCACTGCTGCTCTCCTCGCTGCCGTGGCTCTCTTGATCCACAAAGTCATCCAAATCCTGGAGGGACAGCTGACAGCGAATGCTTCGGAAGACAGTAGGTGGAGGGTTCCCGGCCCAGGATTCTGAGGACTCATCTGGAACCACAGGAAGGAGGGAAGGAAAAGACAATTCGGGCTCTGGCAGAGCCGAGTGCGTCTCCGAGACCCCAAAGGCGGTTTCCGAGGATAGCTGAAGGAAGTTGTCTGGCAACACCGACCAGGCGCGAGTGGGTCGTTGGCTCCCGGCCTCGGGTACCTGCGGGTATCTGGCTACCCACTCTCGAGTGCGCTGCTGCTGCTGCAGCTGCTGGGTTGAATGGTTCTGGAAGCCGGCGGTAAACAGCTCCAGCGGTTCACTGGAGGGAGCCGGGAGTGGCGGGAGAGCGGGCGGGGACGTGGGGCTCCCAGCAGCCTCGACGGCAGCCCGAGGCCAGACAGGCGTCGCAGACACCGGTGCTCGTTCAGCCGAAGCTCCTTCCCGCAGCCACCCGGGAGGTCCGAGGTCATCCCCGGCAGGCGCAGTGAACTCTGACTCCTGGCGGGAGGCCGCTGGGTCCTCGAGATCTCCAGGAAGAGGCTGTCCCGCAGGGTCCCCCCAGCCATTCTGCTGGCATTCCCAGCAGCAGCGACCCCGCGTCTCCACCGCCGCACACCTGCCTCTGGTCTGAGCAGCTGCGGGCCCCGGTGTCCTCCGGCTCGGGCTGTCCCTCGGGCCGTGATGTTCCCGGGTCGCCTTCCGCGCGCTGCTGCCCGCTAGTTCATCGCCACCTGAGTCCACTCGGGTCGCCGCACCTGCCGGCGGCTTCTGTGCCGCCGGGTCACGCGGGCGGCGGTGGCCCCGCTGCGGTCCCTCTGCAGGGGTGGGTCGCTGCAGGCCTTCCTCCCCCAGCAGGTCCCTGTACCTCCTCTTGAGCACCACGTACTTGGTGCCGTCGGGGTCCTGGCGCACTGCGGCCACCGAGTTCACGAAGCCCTTGAAGAGCTCGCGACGCTCCTGCTGCTGGCCGGGAGGCACGTGAGGGTCGCGCAGGAAGCCCTTGAAGTGGCTCAACAGCTCGGCGTTACGCACTCGGCCCCCGGCCTGGCACAGAAAGTCCAGCAGTGCCTCCTGGCTCAGCTCTCCGGCCATCGCTGCCAGGTCCCTGGTCCCCGGGGCGGCTGCGTCTCGAGCTCCCAGCGCACTCCCACTCCGACAGAAACCCGGGCCCGGCGAGTGTCACCTGCGCCCGGGGCGGCGCCACCCGCCTCCATCAGCCGCGGAGACCGGCGCCGCCCGCATCCCCGAAGCGCTTCGGGAGGGCCGAGGGTCCCCAGGGTCAGGTGCCCAGGCTGAGTCCCCGCGCGCAGCCCCGGTGGCAGAGGGCGGCTCCCAGGCCGCCCCTGAGCGACGCTGGCCTGTGGCAGCCGGTCCCTGCAGCGAAAGTTCCCGGGATAGGTCGGAGTCGGTTTCACCTGCGCGCTGGCTACGCCTCCTGGGCTCTGGGGGAAGGGCCCGGCCCGCCTCCTGTACCTCCGCCCTCTGATGTGTCCCCCAACCCCCGCCACCCATCCTGGGTGAGTCAGGCTGGTCCACCTGGGGACAGCGCTGGGAGGTGAGGCCGAGGGCGAACGGCTCTGCAGGACGCCCAGGCTCCCCGGGCCCGGGAGGTGCAAGGCAGGTAGGTGACCGGTTGTCCCTCAGAGTGCCCTCCACACAGGAAACAAAAGCAAAAGGAGGTCGGCTCCCTTCCTCTCTCCCCGCGGCACAAGTTACAGTCCACGCGGGTGGGGGTCCAATAGACAGGCTCTCCACGGTTTCTCTTTATTGACGCGGTCTAGGGAGTGGCTTGGTGTTCCCAATGGCAGGATTGGGACCCGGAAACTCCTGCTTGATCTTGACCAAATCTTTTCTGGTTTGGCGATACCGAGATACTGGGAAGGCCTCTCCCGGGGCACCGGCTTCAAGGAGTTCAAATGCACCTCCCTAAATCTGTGCTGAGAGCGAAACCACTGACTGACAGCTACACCCAAGGTTGGTTTCTGCCTTTCTTTTTCCTGCATTATTGTCTTACAGTTACAGTGCAGGGGGAGGGGGATTCTCTGTCAGGGAGTTTATTGCCTGGGGAGCCAAAACCAATAGGAATTATGTCTCCCCGGCTAAAGTATTTGATACCCAGGGCTGTTTTGATTTTTATTTAGTCTAAGATTTGTGACTAGAAGAGATTCGTTCCATCTGTTTCATATTGGCCACTTGATGAAATCTTTGCTCTGAGAATGGAAGTTTTCCTCCTCGCGTTTAAAATGTTGAACACGTGACACAGGTCTGAGTCCACCCCCAGGCTGAATGCTAGCTTGATCTGTGGAAGGACTGTGTGGTCCACCCTGATCCAGAGCCTCTTCTAGAGTGGTACTAAGTATTTCCTTGGCGTCTTCTGAGGAGGGGAGAGTTAACGTACAGTGCTTTCTCTCTTTCTCGGCAGCAGCTGCTACTGACCTCCGTTTCTGTCTGGTCTGGGTGCCTCTCCTTTATCTTGAGTCCGTTTGCAAGCTGTGCTTTATCTACGGGATCTGTCTATGGTAGCATCAAGCGCCCTTCTATCTCAGCGCGGCTAGTTGCAGCTGCCCCTCCCCACCTTTCCCCAACTGCCAGCACAAATGCCAGCGTCAGCATCCTCCCGTGACAGCCACATTTCTAGCAATAAACTCCATTTCCTCCCTCCCTGGCATTTGACACCTCTCTCCTGTTCTCATCTCTTACTTGGCTTTGTTTTGCAGTTCTGGATCCTTCACTAAGACTATCTCGAGTATGTCTGCCCTCCGATTGTCAACACGCTTTGACATGGACATCTTCTAGCCCCCACCCCAGGAGTGGGGATCGAACCCAGGGCCTCGTTCCTGCTAGGCACTGTCACTACTACAGATCATTCTCAGTGATTGCCCGATAGGCCACATCTAAAGTGCTTGGTTTAAAATCCCAACAGTATCCTGGTACTTTTCCATGAATGACTTGGAATCTCTGGCTTTAAATTATCTAGGTCAGAAAGAAGGACTGTCTATTTGGAGCAGTTTCTAGAATGGAAATCCAGTAGTGGGTTGCCATGGAGAAACCGTTCCCACTGATGTCTCCATATAATGCTGAGACCCCTACAGTAATCTTTCAAGCCAATGTTTTCTGCTCAACTTCGGTGCTCGTAGTTATTTGCTGGTGTTGGGGCTCAGTGGGATTCGCAGGTGTGGAAGGGGACCAACTGGAAACCTCAGGGGGCCAGGCAGGAGAAGCCCTCTTTGGTGACTTGCACACGTATATACGCTGAGTTGCACAAGTGGCCAAGAGGTAGAATGGGGGTCCCAACTTTCAATACTTTAATGTAAGAGAGAGAGGGAAGGGGCGGATGTTAAAAGTTTGACACCATTCACCCTCAGTTGGGGGTAGAATTACTAGGTCCGCAGTTGGTTTGGTTTCTGGATACCCAAGTGGTTTAGTGTCCTCTTGTCTTAAGGTAAAGGGGTGGTTAGCTGGAAGGCTCTACATCTTATATAAGGCACCTCCCCGCTTTCCTCATATGCAGTTCATTGTTTCCAAAGGTATTTATCTCTTGGCTACATTCCTGGGCACTGTTAGAAGTGGGTATATATAAAGAAGAATGTTGATATATATA